TGAGTAAAAAGAACCTTGTCTGCCGTTCCAGAGCCGATACTTTCAAAAATGGCGGCTGATTTAAAGAATATTAGGTCTGTAATTTGAGGATCGAAAACGGGAAATCCATTGTGAAAAATGTGGGAAAAGTTTTTATTTTTTTAACTTGTATACATGGGTTCAGACATGTAATAAACAAAATTGCTAACGCGGGCCACCAAGTGAAAACTTTTTACATCCAAAAAAGTCAGATTTTTCTCATATTTTTTGGGTTTTTCATCTATAACTCCTAAACGATGCATCAAAGAGAAAAATGTGTTCTTTAATAAATTAAAGAACGTTAAATTTTGCGTCCAACGAGTACATAAACTTTATAGTTTGGTTAACTATTAAGGTATAAAATCACGGTCAACCAACGCTGATGTTTACCAAATTTGTCAAAAACTTACAAAAATTACTATAAATGACCCTGTAACTTGTAAATGAGTTCCCTAAGAGGAAAAACCCATAGAATCAAAGTTATAAAGTATCAAATTTTGCGTCCAATGAGTACCAACTAATTTAATGTAGTTGACTTGCTCCGAACAAAATCGGTAATTTCCCGAAGGTTGGAAATTGAAAATAAAGGTAAACGTGATTTTCAATATTTTAACAGTATGGGTGTCTATTCTACTTACTTATTTTTGTTTAGAGGCTGTTGCATGCTGTATAAGCCTCTTTTCCACCTCTCAACAGTAAAGAATTTTGGTAAACGATGTGTCGAAAGATACCGAATTTCATAAAGGAATAACGAATCCCGATTCGAGATACATAATTGACCTTCAATGAAAATGTTAGTACTCAGAAGAAGCAAAATTTGATGCTCTACAACTTTGATTCTATGAGTTTTTCCTCTTAGGGAACTCATTTCCAAGTTACAGGGCCATTTATAGTAATTTTTGTAAGTTTTTGACAAATTTGGTAAACATCAGCGTTGGTTGACCGTGATTTTATACCTTAATAGTTAACCAAACTATAAAGTTTATGTACTCGTTGGACGCAAAATTTAACGTTCTTTAATTTATTAAAGAACACATTTTTCTCTTTGATGCATCGTTTAGGAGTTATAGATGAATTTTTTGGGCCCTGGCTCCAGGGCTATAAGTGTGTTTGGGAGAATAAGAAGATTGTAATGAAAGGGAAATCCAAAACGAAAAATGTGAGAAAAGTTTTAATTTTTTTAACTTCTATATATGGGTTTAGAAATGTAAAAAAAAAAGAAATTGCTAATGCGGGCCAACAAGGGAAAAAATTTTACAGCCAAAAAAGTCATATTTTTTTGTTTTTCACCTATAACTCCTAAAGGATGCATCGAAAAATGTACTCTTTAAAAAATTATAGAATGTCAAATTCTGCATCAAACAAGTACATAAACTTAATAATTTGGTAATGTGGTAAGGTATAAAACCATAGTAAATCAATGCTGATTTTTGCCAAATTTAACAAAAACTGAGACAAATTACTATAAATGGATCTGTAACTTGGAAATGAATTCCCTAAGAGGAAAAACTCATAGAATCAAAGTTGTAGAGCATCAAATTTTATGTCCACTGAGTACTGACACTTTTATTGTAGGCCAATTATATATCTCAAATCGGGATTCCTTATTTCTTTATGAGATTCGGTATCTTTTGACACATTGTTTATCAAAATCCTTTGCTGCTGAGAGGTGGAAAAGAGACTTATACTGCATGTAACAGAATTTAAACAAAAATAACTCAGTAGAATAGACACCCATACTGTTTAATATTGAAAATCATGTATACCTTTATTACCAATTTCTAACTATCGGGAGATTACCGATTTTTTTTGTGGTAACTGACCTAAATTAAAATAGTTGGTACTCAGTGGACGCATAATTTGATGCTCTACAACTTTGATTCTATGTAATTCTTCTTTAACGGAACTCATTTTCAAGCTAAGGGCCATTTATTGTAACTTGACTCGGTTTTTGACAAATTTGGTAAAAATCAGCGTTGGTTGGTCGTGGTTTTCTACCAGACCAAATATCCAAATTATTAGGTTTAGGTACTCCTTTGACACAATTTAATGCTCCTTGATATATTAAAGAGTAGATTTTTGGCTTTGATACATTGTTTAGGAATTAGAGATGAAAAAATAAACAAATATCGAAATTTTTTATTTTTTACATGACTAAATCCATATATACAAGTTAAAAAAATAAAAACTTTTCTCAAATCTTCCGCAATGAATTTTCTGTTTCAGGACTTTTTTAAAGCAGCAGCTCTGGAATGGCAGACAAGGTAATCTTGTAATTTACATTCAAACCTTCGCCTGCGACCAGGTTGATTTTTGGGCCCTGCTGTAGGTGATAAATAGTCGGGAAGCAGTAATTTTTAAGCTGTTTTTTTTTTTTTTAGTGCCGACGTTTCAACTTAAACATGAGGGTCATCATCAGGGTCAAAAATTGTTTAATACAATCAGAAATATAATCTTATAAGAGAGATAATGGTTAATAGTGAAAAAATTGTGCTTTAATTTATGATATATGAAATAGAAAAATGAAATATATCATAAGTTATACAAACTAAAAAACACTGCAAATTATTTCACAATGGTTTATTATTTACAAACAATTAATTATACATCTAAAGTAACATCATCTACCAAGTAATTTTGGCAGGTAATGTTTCATCATTAGTAATTTGCTAAAAAAAAAAAATAGAATTACTTCAGCAACACTTTCAAAAATCAAAAAACCAAAACAAAGGATATAACCTTTGCAGTTGAACATATAAAAAATATCTAAACACCATATCTTTGCTCCAAATAGTCCGAATTTAACAATTTTTTTTAGGAAAATTCGTAAACTTTTAAATAACCATAGGAAAATAATAAACCAAAAATATTTAAAAATCGCGATATCTTTACTAATAGTATTCTGATTAAAGTGAAACTTTCTTCATTTTTTTAGGAAATTTAAATACATTTGAAACGTGTAATTATAATTTTTTTTTTTATTCGATTTTCGAGTTCTATGTTTTCTGAAATCTAAAACCTCAAATTTTGAGCGGAATTAAGTTTTTGAATTTTTTACAATGGTCGGTTACAATGGTTTATTATTGAAAATAATAAACCAAAATAATGTATATAATCAATTTATAAGAAATTTAATATTTAATCTTAATAACTGTATTTCAAGCACTGACGGTATTCAAGTACTGACACTTTGGTAGGTAAGTAAAAGGGTCAATGGAGGATCTTCCAGATGTGCTTTTAAGATAGCAAAGATAGGTAAACAAAGTCAGAGGGAGGGGGTGGGGTAACATTTTTGTTTGTAGAATGCACATGATTTGTTAACTAAAATGGTAATGATAAGGAACACCGTAGATCTTATATACATCTTGAATATTTTAGTTATCAAATTATTTGCAGTCTACAAACAAAAATGTAACCCCCCTCAGACTTTGTTTACCTACCACCTTTGCTATCTTCAAAGCACATCTGGAAAATCCTGCATTGACTGTTTCACTTACCTACCAAAGTGTCAGTACTTGAATACCTTTAGTGCTCAAAACATGTTAGTAAGAGTTAATATTACATTTCTCATAAATTGATTATATACATTATTTTTTAAGTGAAAATTCATTAGGCGCGTTTTGGACTTTTTTTGAGAGTGTATTAGATTGATCCGTTAGATTTCCGAAGAGTTAAAGCTCGGGTGAAGTCGGCTAGGGCCAACTAATTAAATGTTTTTACATATGGATAAAAATATCTCAGAAACTAAAATCGGACATGTATACTGTAAGTGAGGAAATTGTTCAGTATTTTATCCTCTCTGTAATAGGCTATAATTCAAAATTTTATCTTAACACAACGTCATGTTAACAAGGTGAAAAGGAAAAATAGTGTCAAAAACCAAATTATAACAGTTTAGTTGAACATATGGATTAAAATATTTCAGAAACAAAAAATCGGACATGCATACTGTAAGTGAGGAAATTGTTCAGTATTTTATCCTCTCTGTAATAGGCTATAATTCAAAATTGTATCTTAACACAACGTCATGTTAAGGAGGCGAAAAGGAAAAATAGTGTCAAAAACCAAATTATAACAGTTTAGTTGAACATATGGATTAAAATATTTCAGAAACAAAAAATCGGACATGCATACTGTAAGCGACGGAAATGTTTAGCATTTCATACTCTTTATAATGAGCTATTATTTATAATTTAGATTTCATATTATTAATCTTGCCTTGTTGATGTTTTTACTTTTATTGTCTGGTCTAAAGCACACACCATAGTTTTTTTTTTTTTTAGTTTTTATAACTCATGACATATTTCATTTGTCTATTTCATATATAATTAATCACTATTTATTCATTATTAACCATTACCTTTGTTAGAAGATTATTTCTCTGATTGTATTAAACAATTTTTTAGTCCTGCTGATGACCCAAGTGTTTGGATTGAAACGTCGGCACTAATAAAAAAAAAACCTTAAAAATGACTGCGTCCTGACTATTTATCACTTAAAATAATTAATATATTTCTGAATCTCATTGGTATGAAAAGATCTGTTAAACTTAAGAGCTCTCATAACTGTAAAACACTGGTTCTTTCTACTTCTTAATTTAGTCTGTCAATAGAAAATTACGACTAAGCCAAAGTATGTTTCAGTATTTTTTTTTAAAGAAAGTCAGACTTTATAAAATAAACCCCACATAATTGCCTAATTTACGTTTATTTTATGAATAATTTTGCAAAGATTTGTCGATATAAGACAGATTTAATTCCAATAATTTCAGATAATCAGGACTCCGCTGCATTATCTAGGATTGTTTTAAAGTGATTTAGTCATTTGTAATCCTGATGATTTGGCAAATATTTTCCCGTTAAATATAAACTGATATTTAGAAGACTATAGTTTTGTTAATAATGACCAAATAACAATAATAATACATTTAGTTTTAGTAAAATAAGAAAATTATTATTCAGACAAATTAAAAAATATCTTACGAAGGAGCATTAATACTAGGATCTCTCTGCCTGACCCCATAGTTGATGCCAGTAGACAATCGAACAATTCGTAGTCTTGGTTCAGTAAAATCTTCACCACCATTATCTGCAAAATTCGTTATTATAAGATTACGATAAAATGCAATATTTTGCACTATGGCGAGAGTGTATTTTACAGTACGAGTGTATAGTAATTGTGTAAATTAACATCCCACCACCCACTATTGGCCAAAAATAAAATCTAGCAGGAAAAAGTCAAAACTGTAAGTTGTTCGAAATACTTTAAGTTCATGTTTACTTTATTCACCATACGTCCAGGCTTAACAGTCTCAGATATTTTTCATTTCAAACTCGCTTATGAGGAGATAAATATATTTGTAAGTTAAGATTAAGAGAGCATTTTATTTTCTGAAACATCACTTTAGGAAAGATTATCCTAGAGATTACTCGGTAAAATTCCCTCTGGCCTTATATTGATTCGTAACAATGAGTAAGTGTTATCATGTTTGACATCCAGAATCACTAAAATCCCTTTCTTATACTATAAGAAGCTTATAAAAATGTATGCAAAAGTAATTATGACTTCAATTAAAATTCTCTTTTCAACTTTAAATATACGATTGTAAATCGTATATTAGTATAACAATTTTTTTATTATTCCGTATTCTTACATACGCATTTTCTATTATTTTACAAACAGTTATAATGTTTTACTATAATATAATAATAATGTTTTATCAATATTATTAAAAACAACACTATTCTTGTATTGAATATTCTAATAAAACTATTAGAGAACAAAGTTCTTTGTATAACCTGAAACTGCCATTGTTACACTCCTGGAACAAGTTGGAAAAGCACAAAGGAATTTTTTTTTTAGATTTTTTTTTTAACTATCAAAACTGAACCATATTGAGACCAATATTATAGAAAAAAACAAAATTTCTACTGGAATGGGGGGCGGCATGTAAAAGGTTAAAAAAGTAAATAAATATTTTGTATTGTATGGTAGATCAAATTTAATAAATTCCTATTTATAAGGTTAAATTTCATTCTTTTCTAGTTTAGGGTTACTTTCTAGTCCCATGTTTAAGGAACTGTTCATAACCATGAAATCACTAAAGTTTAAAAAAAGTTTCACTATTGTTTTCAAATTAGAAAAGAACCAAAATTCAGATAAATTTCTTACATAATCATATGAAATCAATTTTTTCTTTTAGATATTGTCTCGTAACTCTAAAAGTATACCTTTATTTTCACTTTAAAATTTTTTAACACTCATGCACTTTATTACAAATAAATATACAAATATCACACTGCACAGATCATCTATCCTCTCCTTCTTCACAAGATCTCGTCCTTCTGACCTTTACACTCCTTTCCACAGATCTGCTTCATTGTAACACTCCTGCTTAAAATCCGATATGCACCATCCTTATCCACATTCAAAACGCTCTTATTCCAATTCCTCTTCACCATCCAATCAGATGCTGAATAATTATTATGTATTAAGTAACAAGGATTATTTATGTTTTCTTTTTCTTTTCATACACCACTGTTTTGTTTATTACATATTGGAAAAAGATTCAGTATCACTTTTGACATAACATTCTGATGAAGAAAAAAAAAAATGTTTGATGTTTTTATTCATTTTTTTTTTCATTTACAAGATTTAATATATTTGAAATGTATTTAATTTTTTACATTCCTCAATTTTTATGTATTTACATCTTTCCCTCTCTTAATCTACGTTTTTGTATATAGTTTACAATACTATTTCGACTTTTCATTTTAAGTTCTTAAGTAACATATAAATAATTTATTTTCTTTCACTTAGTTTCGTTTTTTCTTTTTGTTGCTGCAACGGTTTTCTCATAAAATTAATTTAAAGCCCCGTTCCAATTGTATTTATTTACTTATTCTTATTTTATTTCTCTGATGTCGCGATAATGCAATAGTATAATCCCGTTGTTCATCTTCTATCATTAATATATTTTTAAGTTATGGATATATTCTGCATGTTTTAACATAATAAGTAAATACTTTCTCTTTACTTACTTTTGATATTCTTTTTTTTTTTTCTGGAGGTTTTGCTTTTTCTTTCTATTTATATAAATTTTTCTACAGAGATAACTTTTTTTTTTTTATCAATTCAACTATAAATATTGTTGAGAAGATTTTATTTTATTTTTTAGTTCTTTACATACTATTATTTAAATTATTGTTTGAATCTTTATTAAGATAATTTTTGTGCAGATATGTATTTTTATTTTTGTAATTGTTCATTATTATTCTAAGGGGACTTCATCCCAGAATATAGTTCATTTTCTATCCATATGTGCTTGTTTAAGGTGAAAATTTTCTAATATTATAAAATAAGGCTCTGTTTATTTTTTCACCATATTTATTTTAATTTTCATAGCTACGTTTCGGCCGGTATGCCATTTTATTCAACCATGCTTTTTGCATGTAATTAGACTTTGGACTACATGCAAAAAGCACGGTTGAATAAAATGGCTTGAAGATGGCTTATTACCGGCCGAAACATAGCTATGAAAATTAAAATAAATATGGTGAAAAATAAACAGAGCCTTATTTTATAATTCATATTCTACGTCTATACAGAAGCTTTGTTGTCATGAGTTTCCATAATGATTCATTGTAAGTTAAACCTTCTAATGAAATCTTATATAATGATGTTGTAAAATAATATGATCAATAAAAGTGTTTTAAAGACACGACAGTTAGGATTAAGGAAAAGTTTTTTTGTTTTTTAAGTTAGAATTTGACAAAAGGTTGAAACAATCGAACAAAATTCAGATAATTTTTTTATAAAATCATGTCGAATCGTTTTTTTTTCTCCACAGTGTTATCTTATTGTCCTAAAAGTAAACTTTTATTCGATTTTTAGAAATTTTGCCCATTTTTTATTCTTTATTTAGAAATAAATATTTTTTTTTTGGACATTACACTGAGCAGTAGTGATTGTTCATCGATATGCGATATGATTATATAAGTGTATGTTCAATATCAATCCGAAGTTATATTTAGCACTCGTATTTCCAAATTGAATTTGTTCAGAATAAAAAAATAATTTTTTTCTGCTAGATTTGTTTTCCGGCCTATACATCACTGGTGAGAATGAAAATTTAATTAATTATAAACTATTTTTTTTTGGAAAAATTAAATTTTCCAAGTAGTTGCCGTATTAAATTTATTAATGTACCCCAAACATATGACTTTTCATCTGATTCGATAAAAATAATTGATTTACTTACAGATCTCGTTATTAGCAGCCGCTGCTGCCGCCGCAGCTCTTTCTCTTTCTCTTCTCGCACGGGCTTCTCTAATTGCGATCAAAGCTTCCCAAACATCGGTGGAGGTCACAGTCAGCTCACGACGAGGCGATGAATCAGGCGGAACTTGTGCTCGGAAACCACGGAATGCGTTTTGTCTCCTCAAAACCCTTCGAGGAAGCCGAGCCCCTTCGCTGTGGGACAGGATGCGCGGCGATCGAGAGTTAAGACCTATCACCAGAGAAGCCATCTCGGTTCTGAAATATTAATTATAAAATATTGTTTCAATTCAAATATCTTTTAAATGAAGATGTTGTATTTTATATATTGAGTATTTTGTGAAACAATATTCATATTCATTTCTTTTTATTGATTTTTATATAACCCTTTTTTTTTTTTTTTCAATGTTTCAAGGTGGCTAAGGTGGCTATCCCATCATCAAAATCATCTTACTAATACCAGTTTTCATATATTATATTCCTTATTTCATAGTTAGTCAGACCCACATAACCATATATTTTAGTATTTTTTCAATTTAGATACTGATTTAAAAACGAATCTTTTATTATTATGTTCTTTTACCATTATAGAACTCTAAAAGGTTCCTTGTAAAATCGTATTTAAAACATCTTTATAGATTATTATTATAGTTTATTTTTATTTTTTTTTCATTTTATCTCCCTTAAAACTTTACAAAAACCAATAATTTAGCCATCATTTTAAAGATTAGGTTCTCCGCTAATGCCAAAAAAATTAGTAATTGTGGATTGACGGTTGTCTATATTGAATAATTGAAGAGAAGAATGGGTGGGATGATCAGTCAAAAAAAAAAAAAAAAAAAAAAGTGAAAATAAATAAATATATTTTTTATTTTTGCCGATGTTTCGGCCCAAAGTTCAGAGCCATTATCAGGGTTAAGAAAAAACCAGATAACAATAGATATGAGAAAACTATTAACTTAAAATTAAAAAAAAATAATATGTAAGTAAAAGGTATAGTCTAAACAATATAGGTAGAATAAACTTAAAATAAAATAAAGTAAGCAGAAAAGACTTAAAGGAAATATAAAAATAACAGTAACAAAGTTAAGGGTAGAAAATAGTGGAAGCAAAGTTAGAATATAGGATAATAGAGGACAATTGGCCTATCATTGAACCCCGCACCTCACTTAATAGTTCTGAAATATCTGAAATCCCTTCATCTATGTCGTAAATCAGGCTATCTCACCTTCCAAGGACAAATTTTTAACCAAATTTCCCGACTAGCGATGAACAACCCCTCGCTCTCAACCTCTCCATAACGACCTACTAGACTCCATTATTCCTCTGTTCCCAGACGATATCATCTTTATCCAAAAATACGTAGACGACTGCCTTTTAGTCCTCAATCCAGATAAAATTCCCAATATCTTATCAGCCTACAATTCTTACCAATTTTGCAGTAGAACGCGAATTAATTAACTCTCTCTCGTTTCTCGATCTTCTCATCACAAGGAATCCTAAAAACATCATATCCACAGACTGGTATACTAAACCAACTTATACATACCGACTAATGAATTTCCATTCCAAACATCCTAATCACCAAAAAAATTTAATGTTGCTAAAATATCATTCACCGATGTCTCTCCCTCTCCGATCCCCAATTTCATTTAACCAATATCCCATGTATACAAAAGATTCTTTCAAATAATAATTTCCCTCCTAATATTATTAAAAAACTTATAAAAGACCATAAAAATTGCTCTTCCTCAATCTCGATCTCCATAACCCATTTCGGCTTCCAAATACAGATCTCTACCTTAAATCCCTAATCTTTCTAACAACATAAACAAAGTTTTACGATCTGCCAACCCTGACTTACAATTTGCCTTTAAATATCACGACACACTTTCTTTCTAATCTGTACACATTTCTAAAAGATTCTGTTTCTCTTTCACACCGTATTCCCGTTCCGCTCTCATATTGTTTACCGTATTCCATGTTCCACCCAAAATTACTCTTCATCTTATATTGATGAAACCAAAAATCTCCTAAAAGACCGCATCATCCAAAATAAATATTCTCTATTCTCTCGTAACTGTACTGCCTCCAAATTATCCGAACACACTCCCTCTCACTAAACTATACATTTGATTTCAACAAAACTTTCATCCTTGCCTCCAGTCCCAACAATGACAAACGACCCATCTCTGCAACCATCCACATCCAGCTTCAACCAAAGACAATGATTCAACAAACAGAAAACAAAACTTATCTTTGGCCTCTTCCCAAATTCTGAATTTATTAAAACATCCATAGCAACTCTTCCCTATCTTTGACATTTTTCCTCTCAGTATTCCATCCAATTTTTTTTTTTTTTTTTTTTTTTTTTTTGCATTACCTCTTCTTTTTTGGTGACAACTTTTTCATTTCCCTTTAATTTAATTCATTTTTTGTTTTCTTTAATCTGATGTTTCGTATATATTGATAATACTCCATTATTGTTTATTTATTATCTTTGCAATATACTATCTCCTTAATTTATACTATATTATATTATTATACCATAGTATCCTTAATTACACTTTATTATATTATACTATCTCTTTAATTTTAACTCTTTTTTTTTAATCTCATGTTTTACGTTTATTTCAGTAATACTTCATTATTATTTAATATTTATTATCTCAGCATTATACTATATCTCCAGATACCCTATTTCCACTCTCTTTCAATTACAGATTTATTTAATAACTCATATAATTTATCTACAACAAACCTCTCGTCCATTATATACTGTAGTAGACATCCTCCTGTATTTACCCCTTTAGATGACAATGTGTGAGGGAATAAGAAGGTATATATAATATATAGGAATGTGAGGTTGCACTGTGAATTGTACTCAATTGTGCAGTGGACATATTGCTCATTGGAAAATCTGACATCGATAAAGAATTGAAAAGAAGAAAAGGTCCGATCAGGTAGCTGGCAACAAATGGCGAGGAGGACGCCAAACACTTAAGGCCTGGACACCAACACAAGAAGACGTCATCTGGGAAGAGAGGCTTACTACATTGAAGACTGAGAATATCAAGCCGACCGTTCACTCATATATATTCATTTATCATCAGTTGTCAAAATAAATTGTTTTATTATACCGGAGTGAATAGTCCTTTTATTTAGTTGTCCTATAGGCCTCACAATTGAAGAATAAACCAGGTGAGTCAATTCATTCAAAGTGTTTACTAAGTCCCACATTTCATATATATATTCTTATTGTTTCTTCTCACACAATGTCACAAAAGGTAATAGATCCCCGAATTCCCAATCACAGTTAAACACCCTCAAAAAGTCGATATCCAGTGCCGGCGTTTTGTTTTAAAGATTCACGAGTGTAAATAACCTTAAGCCCCGATATAAAAGCGGAAGGCTATGCCTCTATTCCCGCCAAAACTAATCATTTAAAATTAACTTCCCGTAGGTTATTTACAATACATTTCTAAGCTTTAGTTCACGTATTTCAGTGAACTGTTACAGAGGGCTCTACGTAAGTTCTACTTTTTCTTATCAAAACAATGTATGTCTAGCAACACCCCTTCGTTCGATCAGGTCCCTCTATCTCTCTTATTTTAGTTTTCTCCTCTTTTTCCTTTTTCCATACCTGTATCTTTATTCTGTGTATATTGATACATTTTCTCATTACTTCTTATTTACATTATTTTAATTTTTTATTCTATTATACATAGTTAGTATGTTTTGATAGATTTTACAGTATCTCAATTTTTCTATTTACATTTATTATTTTCTTTATATAAGTTCATATTCCTTTTCTGTTTTATATTTTATTTTATTATTATCTTACTTATTTTTAGCAAACTATTACATCATATTTTAGCAACTGTGTCATCCCATTTATTTTTTGTTTATACTTATGATTTTTTATCTTATACATTCCATTACATTTCGCTGTTAATTCATTTTTCATTGCTTATTATGTTACCTTATTTTGATTATGTTTATTTCATTAGTCCCTACTTTGTTGTCGTTATTATTTATTTCTTAGTTCTCTGTTACTGTTATTATTTATTCATAATTTCCTAACTCTGCTTCCGCTATTTTCTACCCTTAACTTGGTTACCATTATTTTATATTTTCTTTAAGTTTATTCTACTTACTTTATTTTACTTTAAGTATTTTCTGCCTACTTAATTTTATTTTATATTTATCCTACCTAAATTGTTTAGCCTACACCTTTCACCTACATGTTATTTTTCTTTTTAATTTTTAAATGTTAATAGTTTCTCATACCTATTGTTATCTGATTTTTTTTTATGATGGCCTGAACTTTGGGCAGAAACGTCTGCAAAAATAAATATGCTTATTTTTACTTTTTTTTTTTTGTTTTGACTGATTTTTTTGCCATTGGCACAACTAGAGTTGTAAAAATATTTCTATGGAAGTAATTTGAGAATGAATTCTTTTAAACCTTGAAGGCTTATTATTGTTCAATTTTTATATATTGATAAGAATGTTCAATTTTATATATTTATAAGAATGTTCAATTTAATATATAGATAAGAATAGTTTTAACCATCCCTTCACACTTCCATCCATTTATTTTCTTAATGTGGCGTTTCCATTATACAATACCCTTTTTTCATTATCAAACATTCAACTTTTACATTGTTACATTATCAGTATATCTTGTGGATCAATAAATTAATAGAATGGTGTTATTAAAATTATTCCTTTAAGTATATAAAATTTTAAAATAATTTGAATCTAATGGGAGGACACGAACTATCGATATATCGATAGTACTATCGACTATTGCCCATCCCTATCATCCGGCCTTTCGAAATGGTGGCTGAAAAATATGAGTAACTATAGACTATAGTGCCAAAATGGCTGTAACGATTTTAATAAGACTTGTCTATAAAGTTTTCTTCTTGAAGCCCTTTTAATTTATGTATACAATATACTTCTCCAAAAAGAGGCTGAATTTAATTAAAAAATAACACAATTTTTGGTTTGTTAAGTCTATGAGTATTAGAAAGCTTCCTGGATTTCCTACAAAATAAAAAAAAAATCATCGAAACCAAAAAGAATTATGTCCTATAAGAAATTTTTATTGGAATTTTTTTATGAGAGCTCTACAGGGTGTTTTAGAGTTAAGTGGCCAAACTGAAATTATCAATTAAGGACCTCGATACAATAAAAAAAGTCCCCTGAAGGTATGTTCGCAAACGCTTTGTTTAGAAGATATTCACACCTAAATATTTTCATTGTTATGAATTATTTAGATAGATAGATAGATAGAAAAAAAAAACTTTATTCTGGGACTAAGTCCCTTCAGAATAACAATAATGTACAAAATAATAGAATATTACTGGCCTGAACGTTGAAACAATAAATAAAATTGATAACATAAAATAAAAAGTAAAGAAAACCTTAGGTGCACAAGCTATATACAAACAGATAAAACTATGTACAGAGCATTTAAAATTATGAACAAAACAATTAAAACTATGAACGAATCACTTGAACTATGAACAAAATTATATTTAAGGGTTGAACAACATAAACATACACTTTGAGAAATGAAGAACGAAAAAGAGATACAATGAGTTCATTTCTTAAAAAAAAAAAAAAAAAAAAAAAAAAAAAACTTTACTTGAATATATATATAAAAATAAACAGTTACTTATAATTGAATAAAAAATAACATAAAAAAAAATGTATGTATTGAAATTCCTACGTCGATAGTAGGAAATGCATGTACTATCTCTTACCAAGTGTTATGATTATATGATTGCTACACAATACATATATAATATCAATAGTTAGCTGGTATCAGACTGTTTTTGGAACAGGAATTGGAATAGGAGGTTTTTGAATGTATACAGGGAAGGGGCATGTCGAATTTTGATCGGGAGGGAATTCCAAAAGTTGACAGACCGGGCTATAAAGGAATTTTGGAATGAGGCAGATCTATGAGAAGGGATGTATAGGTCAGAGGGTCGGGATCTTGTAGTGAGTGAATGGATTGAGGACTTAAATTGGAGAAGGTTGTAGGCATAAGAAGGACGATGATCGGTAATGATTTGATAAAGGAAAGCGCCAAGGAAATATTGTCTTCTTAAGGAGGGGAAGAGCCACCCTAACTCAGTGTAGTGGTGGGAGACACGGGAGCGTCTCGGGGTTCCAATTACAAATCTTACGAAGCAATTCATAAGTCTTTTGAGTCTATCACGCAGTTCCACCGAGAGGCCATCGTACACCACACAGCTATAGTCAAAGTGGGGAAAGATGAGAGAGGAAACTATGAGTCTACGGGTATTTTGGGGTAGAAGATGGTGGAAGTGATGGAATAGTTTGAGGGTATTTACGTTATATAAAGTAAATAAAACCTATTATTTTGTTCCAACGATTTTATTAATTAAAGGTAAGCATTAACATTTGTATTAAATGTTGTTCAAACTGATTTCCTTGAGCATTAACACAGGCTCAGCATTTTTCTTCAACAGCAGCAGTGGCAGAACGGCACTGGATATGTGTTATTGTTTCACAAGATTCAATTATCCTTCTTTGTAAGTTATTAAGGTCATTGACTGGACTTGCATAGACTTTTTGTTTAATGTCACCCCAAACAAAAAAATCTAGTAGTGTCAGGTCTGGAGAGTGTGCAGGCCAAGCCACTGGTCCTGCACGGCCAATCTATTGATTGGGATAATTAGCATTTAGCCATTGTCATGGACCTCTTCCATAATTTGCAGAATGACCATCTAATTGAAGCCACATGTCGCTTTTCAGTTGTAGTTGAATATATTTAACTAAATCATAGTAATCATTATTAAAAAAATTCCCTAAATACAACTAAACAAATCGTTTGCAGACATACCTTCAATTTTAACAACATTTAATATGAATGTTAATGTTTACATTTAATTAATAAAGTATTTAGAACAAATAAATAGATTTTATTTATTTCGTATAATGTAAATAATTCATAACAACGAAAATCTTTATGTGTGAATATCTCCTAAACAAAGCGTTTGCGGACATACCTTCAGAGGAAATTTTTTACTTGTTTTGAGGTCCTTAGATCATTTTTGCAGTTTGGCCACTTAACCCTGAAACACCCTGTATTATGACAATTTTATTTTGGAATATAGCTGTTGTATAAGCACAATGTTGAAATGAAACAATTTGTAACGACCGAATAAGCAAAGTGGGTTCAATTATTTTTTTAAGGAGAAACCAAATTGAGATTTGTATTTAACACCTAGATAAAAGCTGAAATTTTCATAGAAATAAATAAAATATTAACTGTTTGACTCAAATTTCCACAGAATGAGCGAAGTGAGTTCAAATATATTTTTTTTTAAACAAGTAACAATGGATTCACATTTTTATTTGCCAATAACTCAAAAAGACGTGGTAAAGCCTTCTTGACTGGCACGACCCCTGAAAGAGGCCATACACCAGGATAGGCAGACATTATGGGACAATAGTCCTCCAAATAAATTAAAGGCCTTAAAAAAGAAAGTGAAGCCATGGAGCAGTTCCAGTCGCAGTTAACGCAGAGAGGAAGTTGTCCTTACGCGACTATGAATAGGTCATACCAGGCTTATGCACCTTCACTTAATTACTAAAGAAAACCCGCCCATTTGTCGGAAGTGTGGAGAGAGAATGACAGTGGTCCATATCTTCGAGGGTTGTGCCTTTTACATGAGACAATTAAACCCAAGGGGAATACCAGCAAATACACCGGCTGCTTTGGGAAATGATGAAAAAATCCTAGGCAAAATCGTATGTTTTCTCTCCGAAGAAGGAATGTCTCACGCAGCACTCCCCACCTCTTTTTTCCTCTTACCATATTTTTTTTTTCTTTTCTACCTAACGTACGAACTGTAAATAACTAAACTTTAATAACCATAAACAACTTTTAACCTTAATGTACATTTTACATTTTTTTTTATTTTTATCTAATTCTTAATATTAACAACCAAAAGATATAGTAAGATATAATTTTAATTAACGGCGTTGATGACCAACAGGTTCTACGCCTTTACTCCACAACCAATCAATCGACTCAAAAAGAACACTGTTTAATTTTGTAAAGTGTATATGTAAGAATATATAAGAGTAGAAAAAAAAAAAAATAGAATACATGCAAATTTATTTGTTTTCCTCAAATGGTCAATAATAACTACGGTCATGATTCGACCAACACTAGTCAAAATTAATGCTCAAAAAATCTAAATCAGATACACAAAATTCAGATAAAATAAAAGGTCACTGAAGTTAACAGTTATGCAAGAAATCATAAATGTAACATTATCTTCTTTTTTTTTTATCCTAATTCTGAAAAAAATAATCAAACCTAAAATCAAAAACTCACGTATCGGGTTGTTCGACTTCAGTTTCGGAATCTTCCGCAGGTGACAGCTCAGGAGATTGATCATTAGAATCGATACTTCGAGCTTCGGTGTCTTGTATGTCGTGGACACAGGTCCACTCGGAAGTTTCATCATTTGAAATGTTTCTACTTAGAGCACACCATCCTTGAGGATGAACCTGTATGGCATACAAAACAAAAATAAATAAATAAATAAAAATCATTAAACCAAATCAAATTAAAAAGAAAAAAAAAAAACAAGAAAGCAAATAAATAAATAAAGATACAATGAAAATAGAATCACCTGAAGGGAGGAAACCACCTCTGCATCATCACCCTCAGGGAAATCTGTTAAAAACTCTATACGGTTCTTTTTCCGTTTTTTAGAAAAGAGATGCGTGAAATTAGCTGCTACCGGGATCGTTGTTTGACTTAACTGCATTAACCTGTACATGTTTGGCTGGAAACATAAGCAAAACAAAATTATTAATAAACAGCATCTATAACAGAAATGAATCCTAATAAAATACTGGTTGCACATTATTTTTAACAGTAGCTGAAATGCAACACGGCAAACAGTTTCGATTGGGGAAAAACTGCTTAAACAACCAACAGAGTGGCTATCAGACAGCTAAAGTACAATTCCCTGATTTTTCCGTATTTAATGATAATTTTCCCTGACCAATAAACGTCTGGTGACACAAATATTAAAAATGTATAATTTATAACTAAATTTATTTTTTATACATGACAGAAAATTTACAACAAAATGATTCGAGTAAAAAAAAAAATCTGGTGCGGTGCGCGCATCACACAACTTTTACTTGCCACCCTTTTAGCAGAAATAAGTATTTTCAGACAAAGGAGAAGTGAAAGTAAAAATTATAGACGCTATAATTATTTATATTTCATTGTGGGTATAATATTTATATCAGTGTAATCTATACCATTAAATATTAAATAATACCAACAATTGCATTTATGAAAACCGCGTATTTATATTTATATAATATAGTCGGAATCCGTATTATATTAAGCTCCTGTTATGTATGGAAGCCCGTTATTATCCTTCGGGCTAGCTCGGGTACAGTCAATTACAACTATTATCCATTCCGATTTTTTATTTATACTTTAATTAGTTATCAAATTCTTTCCTATTTTATATTTAACTATCTTTTATATTAGAAATTAATGTGAAATAGTCAATCGTTTCAAATAAAAAAAATTAAAGGTATTCTGGAGGAAGTTAATATTGAAAATTAGCTATTTAAGCCCTGTTAGAGAACATCAATCAGAATAAAAATTTATTTTATTTAAAACTGCCTAATTTTACACAGATGTAATGAATTTAATCAAAATCGTTAAGAGCCATTGCCGAGAACATTGTAAAAATGTGTTTAGTCCATGATATAAAGTGCCACTTCCGGTCAGTCGGTTTTGACAAAAAAGTTACCATAACATCCCTAGCATATAAAAACCTTCAATATGCAATTTTACTTTCGTACGACTTTTCATTTTTGAGCTAGACTGTTAAAACACACACACACACACACACACATACCATTTTGTGGGACTTGGTTATTTGGACTCAGGGGACCTCAAAACGTGTATTTCCGTTGAAAACTGAGATTCAAAAATTTTCACGATCGCAATACTTTCCTTTTCTAAATATTTCATATATAGGTAAGTGAAAGTAAAAATCAGTCTTTTAAATAATAAAAATAATGTTTTAGAGGAAGAATTTTTTAAACTTGATTACATTTTTTTATTTTAGAAAATTAAACTTTTAGTAATCTATTATTATCGCTTTTATTTTATTTTCATAAACGCGTATAAATGTATGTGTTCATAAATGTAATTTTTCATAAGTAATTTAGTTTCTTTATTAATATAAACAGTGTAATAATTCTCCATATGACACCAACTGTAACATTTCTGGTTAATAAATACTCTTTTAAGGAGCGCCACGGGTTGAACAAATGAATGCTTGACAGATGTTTATAATACAAATAGTAAATAGCATTGGTATGTACTTCTTAAAAAAGCATTGTTTTAGGTCAATTTTGCTTAAATTTTATTCATTACCCTTGTTTGATTTCAACATAACAAACAGTGCCGTTATGGACAATCAAAGATGGATGAATATAAGTGACCATGGTACTTTATAACGACAAAGTTAACTCCGTCAAGGTCATTTATTTATTGCCAATTTGAAAAAAAATATTTATTTCCTAAAAAATTCCCTGACTTCTGACCGTTTTGAAAATTCCCTGACTTTTTCAATTTTCCAGAAATAGTGACATACGCAGAAACAACATTACTTTCCGGTCCCCCTAATAAATTGCAATTTCGATCATTAAATTGAAAATACAACTTCAATAGAAGTCATCGAAAAAGATAGTTGGTTTAAAAACTCTCATCATCGCCATCAGCCCAAGCTCGAAAATCTATTACTGGATCTTGGCTGCCTCAAGAGTTGCCCTCAACATTTCTCTGTCCTGAGCAGGAATTCTGGCATCGGCACTGACTCTATCTATCCATCTCAACTTCGGTCAACCCACTTTTCTTTTTCCAGCCGGCTCCATATTGAGCGGCTTCTTTGGAGTTACAATCCGTACAATGTGACCTGCCCACCTCAGCCTAGTTATCCAGCTATATTTTACCATATCCAGCTCCTTGTATAAGTTGGCTAGTTCTTGTACGTAATAATAATACATAATAAGCTATACAAACCATGGAACAATGTACATAATAAATTAGTTTTTCCCCTTCACTCGGAAAAATATCTTCCGAAAATAACATTACTCTCTCATTCATCAATGTTCATGTATCACATCCGTGTACGTATCAGGTTTAAAAACTCAGATGTTGGTAAATTGGCGGATCGAGACAGAACAAAATTGTTTTAAAGATTTTGACAGGGACATCTAAATCAGATAAAGTTCCTCTAGAATGTAGCAGCAGGTCCTGCATTTTAAGTCTTAAATGCCATGGAGATACTTATCATATGTCGTTTAGATTTAAAAAGATTACAACTTTTCTATCTTATATTGAATTATTGAAGGAAGTTTATCGACTGTCCTACATTTCATCGGTGATAGGTAGTCAGGACGCAGCCAGTTTTTAAAATTTTTATTGCCAACTTTTCAACCTAAGCTTGTCCATGCACTTTGATATCCTAATCCGTGAATATCTGGACTGCAAATACAGAGTCGAGATAGACATCAGCAGACAACAGAAACCAAAAAATGGTATAAATTGTTATATAGATGGCTCTCTAACAGCATATGGATCAGGAGCAGGCATCTATCGTAAAGATAACAAAGAAAAAGATTCAATACCTCTTGGCAAATATGCTTTCGTATTTCAACCCAAGATACTAGCAATTCGCCATTAAACCTACTGTGAAGTAAAGTGTCTGGGAAAACAGATTACAATCTATACTGACAGTAAGGTAGCAATAGGTGCTCTAAATAATTATTATGTATACTCAAAGGTTGTTAAAGAATGCAGTATAGCACTTAATAACCTACAATAGCTTAATAGAGTTGCAATAGAGTGGGTGCCTGGTCTTTCAGGCATTCTAGAAAACGAAGAAGCAGACAAACTAGCCAGATTAGGCTCAGACACTATTCCCATAACTCCTGAACCTTTCTGTAGAATCAGTCTTATTACTGTCAAAAGTAAGATTAGGAAGATATATGGTAACAAACTTAAAGAACACTGGACTGAGAAGAAACAACAACATACGAAGCTGTTCCTTAAAGGTCCGTGTGATAAAAGAAGTAAACTGCAACTGATTTTGGGCAGAGCAGCTCTTAAAAGCTTACAGCGATCTACACAGGCCCCTGTAAGATAAATGATCACATGTTCAATTTCCGAGTGACGACGAACCCGCTATGCAGCTTCTTTCAGGAGGAGAATGAAACAGTCTTTCACATCGTCAGTCAATGTGATAGATTTGTAAGGTTTAGGCTGGAGCTGTATGGGAAAGAACGGATAGATCGTCCCAGTAGCTATGAGACTGTCAATCCAACAAGCTTATTAAGATATTCAGAAGCAACAAAAATAACGTTTTAAGAATAAAACGAACTGCATAATGGTGCATAATAGATCCATTAAGGGTCATTAGTGTTGACAATTTTTATAACTCAGAGATATACTACGTTACAACCAGGAATCGAAAGTCATAAACTTTTTTAAATAATTTTGATTTTAAAAGTATTTAGCAAACTTATTAAGAAAATGTTTTAAAAACATCAAAATCCTGAATAAATATTGTAGACTGGCAAAGGAATCAGCAGTAGCTAAGAATCTTAAAGTGACATGAAGTTTTGATTCGACTGGAATCGGTCTTCTCATATTGTTTTCTTGTTTCTGAATCGTTGATTTCACTTTATTGAGCAAAAACCAAAATAGGTTTGGTTCCGTCCTAAAAAAGTTCCTGAAGCTGTTGTAATATTCCAATGATAACTCTCTACAAATACTATTGGTGACACCGAGTGAATTCTGCCTCTACCTAGACTCCAATCGACAATTTTCTCTTCCTCTTGTTTTAATGTATTTCAACCCATTTAGTAATGGTTGGTAAACAATTTTCATGGCTTCATATTCTGCCATAGAGTAACAAGAGCGCAGCCAACAAAGGCACTTCCCCTTGTGAACAAGAGAAGAATGTAAATGCCTGCTCGGAGAAAGCAAGTTGTTTGACATGCGCATTACTAGTCATCTTCTCCCCCCGTTTACAATCTAGAATGAACCCTGACTTACAAGTTTCACATTTTAACAGTGATTTTACTAACCCTTGCACTTTAATTGATAAAATAAAACGTTTTCACGATTATTTTACTGTTATTAAAAAGTTAGTCTAATGAACTTCCTTCGACGGAAATGAAGTTATTGCGTACGGAAACTTTTTCATTAATAGATTAATAAAAACATATCTGATGTGAATAAATTAAATAATCTCACCTTAAATCCATCGAGATCTTTAGCGAGCGTACGAAGATCTAAATTGTGTATTAAAATAAGATAGCCACCTGTGGTACAAATTATCATTTTACTAGCATCAGGATTTAGACGAGTTCTCATTAAACCATTAGTATGAAATACACGGTTGTATAAAAATCCACTTTCCGTATAACTAAAAAAAAGAAGAAATATATGTTTTACAATAAAAAAAAAATTAAAGAATAAAATAAAATGGAGTAGAGATGGTTGACCATGATTATAATATGAGAAGGAGTTAGTCGGCGGTTGCGGTCAAATAAATACTATATGTTAAAATAATATTTTATTGATTACGCCGACATTTCGACCCACTTTGTAGTTCTTCATCAGGGCTACAAAAGATACAAAATATAAAAGCTATAAAGTAAAAATAAATTATTAGTAGACATTAAATAAGAAACAGTTGTCTGATAAAGCAATAAAAGAACTAATAAAAAGACATTCGTAATAAAGTATTTTATCACAATTTTATTTATTGTTTCAAACTTTTAGGCCAGTAATATTCTATTCTTTGTACAGTTTTGTTATTCTGAAGGGACTTAGTCCCAGAATAAAGGTTTTTTTTCTATCTATCTAAAGTACGTGATAGTAGAGTTAAAATATAAATTATTATATATATATATATATATATAAGTAACAAAAAAAACAAAGGTGAATATAGCATGTAAGTTTAAAGTAAACAGATTGTGATAAAAAGATAAGATATGAGCAGATAACAAACTAGTAAAGGTTACTCTCAGCCTAACTTACAAAATTTCCTGACTTTTGTAGTTGTTTTTTAAAATAAAATTACACGACTTTGCTAAGTCTGGTAGACGTCTTCATCTTTGTTGAGATTAAATATAAATATGAAAATATATTTATTTAGTATTTGTAACAATTTATATTTAAATTATTGAAGATAAATTGTTTTGAGATTGCAGCAATCATTTTTATTTTGTATATAGTATGTATAACTAATATTTTCTTTACTGATTTATCTTTACCTTTACTTTTTATGTTTGTTTTTATTTGGCCGGATATAACATTTTAATTTTGTAATTTTTTGTTATTTTGAAGAAATTTTGTTCCAGAATCAAATTATTTTCTATTCTAAGCCATCTTTAAGCCATTTTATCCAACCATGCTTTTTACATGTAGTCTGAAGACTTTGTATTACATGCAAAAAGCATGGTTGAATAAAATGGCTTGAAGATGGCTTACCGGCCGAAACTTAGCTATGAAAATTAAAATAAATACGGTGAAAAATAAACAGAGCCTTATTTTATAATAAGTAAAAATAAATAATATTTATTTTCTTTGTGCTGACGTTTTGGTCAGTTCCAAGCCTAAGCTAGAACAAGATAACAAATAAATAGTGGGAAAATAGTAGACAGTAATAATACTACTACTAATAATATGTAAGTAAAATAATTAGTAGGTAGTTAAACTTAAAATTAATAAATATGTGGAATGGAAAAAAATTATTTATTTTCCATTCCACTTTAGTAGATGGCCTCTATTTACTCCTTTATTTGACATTGAGTGAGGGGATGAGGAGTGTATAGAAATGTTTCAAGGGGTTTCACTATGAATTGAATTCAATTGTGCTATGGACAAGTTGTTAAGTGGAAAGTACCAAATGAATAAACGATTCACGAAAAAGGTAAAGAACAAAGAAAGGAAGAAGCCTGGAAAAAGAAGCTGGCAGGTGACAGCAGCTGGAGAGGGACGCTGGGAGAACAAGAACTTAACTTGAGGCTGGAACGTGAAGACGGAAGTACCTGATGGCAGGAGAGAAGCCCGCTCCACTCAAGATTAAGAAAATCAAGCCTACAGTTATAAGATTTTAATAGATTCATTACCGTTGTAAAAAAAAAATTATCTTATTATACAGGAATGGATGGTAATTTTATTTAATTGTCCTATATGCTTCACAATTGAAGAACAATAAATCAGGTGAGTCAATTCCTATGAAGTGTATTTACTCAGTACAACATTTTATTTATATATTCTTATTATTTCTTGTTACTCAGTTTTACAAAAGCATTAGGTTCCCAAATAGATTTAATAGATAATCTATTTCTGCTCATTGGTCATTCATTGAGGTTACTGTGGAGCCAAGATATTTGAATTTTTCTACTCTCTACGCAGATCCTGTTATCGGGGTGGACTTTTCGGCTTATTATCATATTTTTTTTTTTTTTTTTTTTTAAGAATTATATTATTGTAGGTTGTGATTAATGCTATTTTAATCTTATTATAAAAATATTCTAATTTTTGCCTTTTCAGGGATATTATCTGATTTTACAGCATTTTGTCTATTTCCATTTGCATATAGCGGAGACCTAGTCCAGTACACATAGAATAATCAGTATCTTAATCTTATTCTGTGAGTACTGGACTAAATGTGCAAGACAGGGCAACCCTATACACAAATGAAAATTGACAAAATGTTTTAAAATCAAATAATATTCCTGAAGATACCTCAAGAAGTGAAAATTCGAATATAGTTGGAGTCTGGCCAGAGACAGCTACCTATGAACATAGCTATAATTCTCTTATACCTACACAGTTTTTCTTTATTTTAATCTTCACTACAGTTCATCTTCAGTTCAGTTTTTTTTTTTTTTTTTCTATTATTCTAGAATATTATTAATGTTCACTGATACAAGTGACATATATTTATGTAAAAAAGTGCATAACTGTAACTGATTTCCTAGAAGTACAAGACTGTAATATTTTACTAATCCTTACGGCATTAAACACGCTGTTTACTGCTTTCATCACATCAACAACTGTCTACCGGTATTTATTTATATTTTAATTTATTTACTTCTCATAAAATATGGTGCAGTGTAATATTTGCAATAATACTATTGCACGCGAGGACAAAAACAATATTAACTGTGCAAAATGTAAAATTATTTACCATAGTAGGTGTTTCAACTTAACTGATAAAGACATCAAAGCACTAAAAACACACAAAAAACATGGGTATGCCCTAATTGCGACCAGGCCAAAAAACCCAACACTGAGCCGTTTGCCTCAGAAATACTGGCGGCAGTAAATCGTCTAGATTCAAGCGTGAACGAAGACGTAAAAAACATTAATGCAGCCCTCGATAAATATGGGGAGCTCAGTTTTGAGGTAAATGAAAGATTAACAAAAATTGAAAAACACCTCGAAAGTCAAGTCAGTAAATTCGAAGAAATTATTCTGGAAAATAAAGCCCTCAAATCCCGAGTGGGCGAACTAGAAGTTCACCTGAATAATGCAGAGCAGGGCCTGTTATCCAGATCACTGGAGATCCGAGGGATACCGGAACGAACTGGTGAAACGCCCGCCGCTCTGGTGACCAGTATAGGAGCCAGCCTGGGAGTCAGGCTTAGTGCAGAAGACCTGGATATGGTGCATCGCCGCAGAAGCAGGAAAGATGATCCGCGACCGCCGCCTGTCATCGTGCGATTTGTCAGGCAATTAGTCAGAGACGATTTAATATCGAAAAGAAAAGTCAAGAGGGATTTCTCCACGCGGGATATCGGTTGGCAGGAGAATGACTGCCACCGGATATATCTGGGGGAGGAGATGACTCGCACGAACAGGCACTTATACTGGCTTGCCCGACAGAAGAAAGTAGCAGGGAAAATCAAATATTGCTGGTTTGCCGCTGGAAAGGTGCGATGTCGAAAAGAAGATGGACATAAGGTTATATTGATCGAACAGGCCTCGGACCTCGATATATTTACCTGACTACACAGAATTCGTCTACCCTTCATCATTATCAAAATAACTATTGACAAAATTTCCTTCAAAGAAAGATTTTCGCTTTCAGTTGTATTTCTTCATTTTCACATATTAGCCTATGTATTATTAACTATATGCTTTCTATTTTTTGTTTCTTTAAACACTTTCTTTTTTCTACTTTTCATTAATAATAATAGCTTTTCTGTATTTTTTGTTTGTTTTAGTGTTTCTCTACCGAACTCTGACTGTATCCTTCCAAATCCTTCTCATGTCTAGTACCCTAATCACCTGCCATGTTAACTCTCAATCCCTCCTCGCCCACTATGACGAATTCCTGCAATATTTCACTCAAAATTTTACCATATTATAGCTATCTCCGAAACTTGGCTCAAATCTTATATCCCCTCCTCTTCTGTCTCCTTGCCTAATTACAACCTCTTCCGTTATGAACGGGTAAGCCGGACTGGCGGTGGAGTAGCCATATTTGTCCACAATAGCCTGAAGACTCGAATCCTCGATTTATCCCCATCTTCCAATCACCCACAAATTGAATACCTATTAGTTGAAATCCTTTGTAATACTTCTCCTCTCCTCTACGCTGTTGTATACCGTCCTCCTCTTGTTCCATTTCACACATCCTTTGAATCTAGCCTATTGAATTTCATTCCACTCTATCCCAGAATAATCATCTCAGGTGACCTCATACCAATTTCCTGTCTAACTCCAATAACAAATCCTATCTAGAAGACCTATTCTTCTCCCTTCACCTCTTTATCGTTCCTTTTTCTCCCACTCACCATACTAGCAGGTCCGACACTTGGCTAGATTTCTATATTATAGACTCTGCACAAAACTTCCTCTCCTCTTCCCAACTGCCAGTATCCTTTTTGTCATCTCATGATCTGATACCAATAATATATATTATCCGGACTCCTCCTATTCAGCCTCGAACTACCAACTTCCGCCATCTAGATTCCCTTACACGAGAACAAATATTACCTGACCTGGAAATCCTAGATTGGAATAAAATATATTTTTGGACTTCTATCGACTCTATGGTTGATATTCTTACTACCAATCTCCTAAATATCCTCAATACCCATGCCCCTCTCAAAACCTCTACATTTCGTCACCGGCCTGCTCCTTGGATGTGTCAGGAAATTAAAGACCTGCAGAAGAGGCGCGCGCGACACTGCTCGTAGACGCTTCAGACGTACTAAGCTTGCAGATGACTACCAAGCGTTCAGGGTGCTTCGTAACTTGATACAGACAAGAATCTGGCGGTCAAAATCCCTCTACTTCCACGAAGCCCTTTCCTCAACTCCTGACATAAAATAAAAATGGCGACTGCTTCGTAAACTCTCCCTTTGTGATCGTTCCAGCTCCCCTACAGCAGCCTTTCCAATATCCCCTGATGATCTAAACTCGCATTTTATGTCTGTTGCTAATACCTCTCCTTTATCCTCCTGTTCCGGCTTTCCTATAGAGATACCATTTAACGACAATAACTTTTATTTTTCCGACATTTCTCCCACAGACCTTTTAACCGCTGTAATGAAATCCCCCACACCAATTCCATAGGACCTGATGGCATCCCTGTCAAATTAATAAAATTATGTCTTCCTGAAATCCTCCCAGTTCTTCTTTTCATCTACAATTTCTCCCTTCAGAATTCAGTATTCCCTACATCTTGGAAAAAAGCCATTGTCCTTCCTTTGAATAAAAATTCTAATCCGACCTCACCCGAAGATTTCCGGCCAATCTCAATTCTTTCCAACCTCTCAAAACCCCTAGAAAGATAGGTGCAATCCCAAGTCTCCAACTTCCTTGAAAAGTCTAACCAACTTGATCCTCTCCAATCTGGTTTCTGTCCCAGCTACTCCACACAATCCGCCTTAATTAAAATCACCAGCGACATTCAAACTACAATAGATGATAAAAAGTTAACTATCCTTATCCTTCTCGACTTCTCCAAAGCCTTTGATTCCATCAACCATTCCATCCTTTTCAACAAACTGAAATTATTATCCTTCTCCAATAGTTCCATCTCTTGGTTTCAATCTTTCCTTTTACAAGGTACCCAAGCAGTCACCATACCCAACCAACCACTATCTGCCTTCCTTTCTTTATCCTCTGGAGTTGTCCAGGGTTCAAGCACATCTCCTCTCCTTTTCACGACCTACCTACGACCTACTTTTAGCGACCTACCTAAATCAATTCTCCATTGTTCCCATCACCTTTATGCAGACGATTCACAGATGTACCTATCATTTTTCACTCCTGAGTTACTGGGGGCATTTGCCAAGATCCAAGAAGACCTAGATCGAATCAGTGCCTGGGCAAATGTAAATGGATTAAGGTTAAATGCTGCCAAAACTCAGGCCATTGTCATTGGTTCCAAGCCCCTCCTTAGATCCTATACAGACTTTCCCATCCCTCACCTTAATGATCAGCCAATCTCCTTCTACTCCTCTGTTAAAAATTTAGGATTTTTCATTGATCAAAACCTCTTTTGGAATCACCATATTTCTCATATCTCTCGACGGACAATTTTCACCCTTAAACTATTCCATCGCTTCCGCCATCTCCTACCTCAACAGACGTGTAGACTCCTAGTTTCCTCTCTCATTTTCCCCCACTTTGACTATAGCTGTGTGGTGTATGATGGCCTCTCTGTGGAGCTCCGTGATAGACTGAAAAGACTAATGAACAGCTGAGATTTGTGATCAGGGCCCCAAGATACTCCCATATTTCTCACCACTACGCTGAGTTAAAGTGGCTTTTCCCCTCCTTCCAAAGACAATATTTCCTAGGTACGTTCCTCTACCAAATCATCACCGACCATCGTCCTTCTTACGCCTACAACCTTCTCCAGTTCAAATCCTCAGTCCATTCCCTGTCCACAAGATCTCGACCTTCTAACCTTTACATGCCTTCTCACAGATCTGCCTCATTCCAAAATTCCTTTATTGTTCACTCTGTCAATTTCTGGAATTCCCTCCCTATCAAAATTCAACATTCCCCATCCATATCCACATTCAAAACCCTCCTATTCCAATTCCTATCCCAAAAACAGTCAGACAGTTGCTAACCATTCGAGCTGATTTTAATAGAGAATTAAATACATTTTTATTTTTTAATTCTTTATTATTTTCTTAAAAGTGTATACTGGTCTATAAGTGCCAATAGCTTTAAGTGTCTTGTCATAGTATTAATTGTTTTGTATATAGTTTCGTTCGTTTTGTATATAGAATTTTTATCTTATATTTTTTTTACATTATTTCTTTTTTTCGATTGATTTTATTTTGGCCAGATGTAATATTTTAATTTTGTTCTATTTTGTTATTCTCAAGGGACTGTGTCCCAGAATAAAGTTATTTTTCTATTCTATTCTATTTTTATAATAAATTCTTTTATTATGGAGACTTATTAAAGACCTTCATTACAACCCACATATTTTTATTATTACTGCCTACTATTTTCTCAGTATTTATTTGTTATCTTGTCTTTGCTTAGCCTGAAACTTAGGTAGAAACGTCGGTACAAAGAAAATAAATATAATTTATTTTTATTTTGTACTTACAATGACTGCAAAATCCAACCAAGTTCTCTTCAACAATATCTCCCAACAGTCAACAATTACCCAACTTCATGTTTATATAAAACTGTTTGAATATACTATACCTGTTAATGTCCCAGGTGTAAATAGCACCATCAAATCCTGATGTCACAAGTAGTCCATCACTTTGGGAAAACTCGATGTTTTTAACCCAATTAGAGTGTCCATTCAACGTCCTTATTCGGTTTTTCAAATTCCTAGCATCCCATAACGCCACGGTACTGTCATCACTGCAGGTCGCAAACACTCTCGAATCTAAAAACCTAAAAGTAATTTAAGAGTATGTATAATTTTGAAATTAAATTAGACAAGCTATTTCAGAATAATCTAATTACAAAATACGTAATTATATTAAAGAGATTCTTAATAATTTCGGTTATAATCATTAATGCCAAAAATAAAACCACACTGATATGGCCAAAGGGAAGGGAACAGCAGATAAATTTATTTAAAACAAAAAAAAGTCCGATCATGTTTCGTAAGGTAGATAGTATCTTCAATCCCACCCTTTACAGTCTCATCCTAACACCATCAGCACCACTTATGCTGCTGACAAGTGTATTATCAGGTAATAATGACCCATATATTGCTTCCAGAACTCTTCAGTCATATATCACAAACCTTGAAGAATGGTGTACAAAATGGAGGATAAAGATAAATTCTAACAAATCCCATCAAATCACTTTTACTCTTTGTCATAAATACCTTCCTATATTTTCCTGTCCTGTAGTATTCTTCAATAATACTCCATTTCTCACCAGATACTCCAGATCTGCTACCTACGACTTCATCTGGACACACCTCTTACAAGGAATCTTCAGACAAGACTGAAATGACACGAACCTGCAAGCAGTTTTTAGATGTTTCCAGCTACTTCAACACTTACTAGACAAACACTCTCATCTTCCAATTAATTATAAAAGACTCATTTACTTTACTATAATAAGGCCCATTTAGACTTATGGAGTTGAGCTTTGAAGTTCTACTAAACTATCAAATCCCTCTCGTATCCAATCCTTACAATCCAAAATCCTCATTGCTCCGTACTTAGTCACAAATAAAATTACTCACAATGATCTTAATGTTCTATTTGTTACTAATAATGGGTAGTTCCTCTACAAGTCTGCCCATGTCATTACAACAATTTCAATTTTTTAGTTAATATAGTTGTTCAATAAATATATTTTTCAAAAATTATGTTAGAGCTATGTCTACAAAAAATATTTCATGAGAAGAAATATGATAAATAAGCTATAACTGTTATAAAACATATTTGGCATCAGGATTAAAGTTTTTGTTAAAACAATAATAATATTGATAATTATTTAATAGGGTATATCACCATTATTTTTTTCAATTCAAAGTTTCAATTTGATAAACAGCTGTCACTGTTATTACATATTGTATAAAATAAATTTTTTGTTTGTTTATTTATTTTAAATGATATTTACAACTGTATACAAAAAAAAAATACATCTAGTAAATTTGCACATTGGTATAAAGACATGGAACACATGTTGAGAAACTACCCATTGGTAGCACTCTAATAATATGTCTATATTAGAAGATCACGTGGCCATCTTCTTTTCAGACGCCTCGGAGGGTTATCAGGAATCGAATAGGAAGCAAGGTTAGAGACAAGAGGGTTGGGATGGTTATGAAGTTTATTATGGAAGGACAGATATCTGGATTGGGCCAAATCTGATACATAAGGAACATTAAGGTCATTATGGATAATTTTATTTGTAACAAAGTAAGGAGCATTGAGGATTTTACGAAGGATTTTGGATTGCAAGGACTGTATGCGAGAGGAATTTGAAGGCTTGGTGGAGCCCCATAGCTCAACCCCGTATAAAATAAATAAATTGAAATTTTTATTTTTTTTGTAAATACAGAGAAACCTCTCTCTTAATAGAAAAAAATTAAATGCACCAGTTGAAACATAGAACGATTTAGCTTTCTTTGAAATAGCCATTTCTAATATAATCCGTGGTATAGAATCCATTTTATCAAATTATTAAAATTGGCCTAAAACTTTGTGAATAGCTTTATCTCATAGTACCCAAGAACTATATTATTTACGAAAGCTCTAGGAATTGGGGTGTTTTCAATCTGGATGTCGGCAAACTTTGTCTATTTAATTTGGTACTAAAAACTCATAAATATTTATTTTCTTTCCATTTGGATCATGAGATAATTTGATTACAAAATCGAGAAAAAAAGCCTACAAAAATATTGGGCCATTTGGCCTATCTAACCTCGTTACTTCGACATTTTAGAGGTGTAGGTCATGCCAAAAGGCTCAATATTTTTTAAGGTCACCTTTTTTCTCGATTTTGTGCTCAACTTATTTTTAGCATTCAAGTGGAAAGCAAATGGTTATTTACGAGTTTTTAGTACCTAATTAAATAGATGAAGATTGGTAATCTTCAGATTGAAAATGCCCCGTTCTGAATAAAATATTTGTAGATTACGATGAGAAGAAACTATTTATGAAGTTTGAGGCGGATGTTAATAATTTGATTAAAAGAAGTTTGTACCATGGACTAATAGATGTGGACAGCCAAATATTATTATCCAAAAGACATAGTAACCCATGTTAACAAAACCCTTATGAAATTACAATATGAAAATTAAGAAACCCAAATCAAATAGTTTTGATCAGAATACAAACACATGGAGAGGAAGAATCAATAAAAGACTTCTAACAGAACCGGTCAATCAATATTTCGAAATAAGAAGGCAAAGTTTAAGACAAGTGGGCCATTTAGCTCATAACAACCCATCAGGAACTCTCCACACAAAAAAACTTCAATAGTTGCTAAGAGAACATGTTGAACGATATAAATCATATGGATAGATGGAAAGAACGTGCAGGGCTGCATGCAGCGAACTGTAAAGCAATGACCCAAGATAAGCAGCGGAGGAGATGGCAGGTTAAGATGACTACAGATCTACAAGGTCTGTACAGATAACAAGAAAAACGTATATATTTTTTTAAGTTATTCTTTTTGTAAATAATGATACAGTGGTCTAATTCCACAAAAGATAAAGGTTAAATAACAAATATAATGTTTTAGAGGAAGCATTTTTTAAGCTTTATTAGGATTTTTTATTTTTGATATTTGACACATAAACCTTTGATTTTCTCTAATATAAAATAAAGTGAGCGAAAGAGGATTTTAATATTAATATAGTATCTTAAAAGTAATTTAGTTTCTTTATTACTATAAACAGCATAATAATTATCCATATCGTCAGCACCATGTAAAAGTAACGAATGTGCAACATTAAACAGGCTCACAATAGTTAATTTAACATGGTGGCAACAATATGACATTTCTGGTTAATAAACGCTCTTTTAAAAAACACTACGGGTCGGAAAAATGAGTGCTTGCCAGTCAGATCTTGATCCTGATGTATAAATTACAAATAGTAAATAGTATTGGTATGTTTTTCTTTTCAAAAAAGCACTGTTTTAATTCCATTTTGCTTAAATTTTATTCATTATCCTTGTTTGATACCAATGTCGTGATGAACAATCAAATGTGGATGACTATAGCGACCGAGGTTGCTTATAACGACGAAATTTGACTCTTCAAACTCATTATAAACAATACTCACTGTATATTGATCTCCAATTTGAAAACAAATATTTATGTACTAAAAAAATTCCCCGACTTTAACAATTGTTCCCTGATTTTTCCCTATTTTGAAAATTCCCTGACTTTCCCCATTTTCCAGGCCGGTCGCCACCATGATTTATAAGCCATGTGTATAATTTAAAGATAATGATTAAATCACAAATATACACAAGAAGGTTGGTTTTTAATCCAGTTTGATTGTCATGAAAACATTGATAAATTGAAATTAATATAATGATTTATGATAAATGTAAACTAAAAAAATATGAAATCCCCGATTCAAGATTATTAAACCAAGAATCTATACAGAAAAAATATAACCTCAACAAGAACAAAAAAGTCAAAATTGCTAGATTTACTTTTTAGATTTTTTTTTTTCCTTACTTTGAGACTGCTTCAGTTAATGCAATAACAAAAATATTTTCTATAACTTATTAAGTTCACTACACACAACAATTAATTATTACCTAACACAATTAACACAATCTAAATGCGCATTATTCACAGTATTCAGGAGTTGTCTCGATAAAGGATCAAACATAAGAATACTTCTCTTCTCACAAGCAGCTACAAGTAACGATCTAGAAAAAAGAAATCAAAAAATATTAATCAATAGTAACACCAAAAATAAATGAAATCTTGTTAATATAAATATACACATAAAAGTTTTAAAATAACAATGTATGTTATAATAACTATTAACAGAAATTTATTTAAGTTAGTGAAGGCAATAAAAAATGAAATGATTTTGATAAATGAATGTTCCTCAGAATTATAACCTATAAAAGGATAGCGAGTTAAATTTTAAAGTTTTAACAATTGACTAAAACGACAGAAGGAAAATTAATCAATATGCACCAGGTTGAGCAATAAAGGTTAGTACAACATTTAATATCACAAAGTACTTAGTTGACAACTGTTTCTTAGCCAGTTTTCAACCAATTTATTATTTGAAACCAGTTTTAAGCAATGCACTACGTATGAGCATTTTATTATACATATAAGTCATGAAAATGATTAAAGAATCATAAAACAAATCCTATCTAATAATTAGATGACAAAGAACCAGAAGAGTGACACTGCATCACAAGAACCTTTTAAAAAGATGCTGTACTGTATGTACATTTAGAATTGATCAAATGATATTTCTTCATATTCATTCTAATGACCTGACAATACTCTTACCCATCAGGAGAGAACTCCAAATTGAATATACCGCCTGGAGCTGCATTCTGTAAACTTTCATTATGATCCCAAGAAGTGCAAGGTGCAAATGCATTATAAAGACCTCTCATAAACTGGTTTGTTGAACCAGCTCTTGGTCTTAAACCAACTTCTCTGTCTCTAATAAACTTAGTTCTAAAACAATTTCCAGAAATCATATCATGACTGATAATTGAAAATGATAATTATTAAAACCACAATTTAAAATGATCATTACGCGAAATGAGCGGTTTCAAGAGTAGGAGGCATTTTCATGAGCAGACATTGGTTTCTAATCCATGTAATTTTTTTAATTTTCATTGAAACCGAGAAACACCCAACCTAGCCCTAAACCTAAACAGTAACCATTATCCATCAGCTGTTACACCTGTTAGGTTATCATCGAGGTAACAAATATGTTCTATCTGGCAACTTTTGGGGAAAAAAATTTTATTTAAAAAATAGCAATAATTGTCTTTGGTCCTAAGTTCAGTTAAATTAAAACTTCTTCAAAAACTTTGAGAAATATTTTCACAAATCAAAATAAAAACTATTTTTTTTTTTAAGAACTACTCTAATTAAACTTTGCTTAAAATTTGATTGAAATAGATATTTTCAAGCCTATTTCACAGTTCTTAAATTTACTTATATTTCCCTAATTAGTGACTCATCGGAACCAAGGTGTCTAAATTAAAAAAGGTTTGTGAGTAAACTAAACACGTCACGTTTCGTATAGTACAATTCGCATATAATAAACATTAGAACAAATTAAGTTAATTAAGTTATTAACATTCACAAATAAGCTTAATGGTATGCAAATCATTTAATTAGACATTGCAATAAAAACAAACCACATGATGCTTTGCTTTTATCATATCAGTAAGAAACCATGGATACCCATCCTCTTTTTTTTATTGTAAAAAATGGGTGCAATTCTACTAAAAATAATTAAATAAATTAACATAATATGGCAAAAATGGACATTCCCGAGCACTCCATAAGACTGAAAAGGAAAAGGCTGAGAGATCTTCCATAGAATCCTGTGAAATACCGATGGATACTGGCCTCTCCCTGGCATCCTCGTTATTTTACGTATTAAAGTTAAAGATAAAATAAAATTCAACAGAATTCTTAGCTGAATAAGATTTATTATACTAGCTAGAAAAGAGTTATTTAGACAAGTTTACTTACATGTAAAAGTTCAGAAAGATGATCTATGATTAAAATCAAGATCATTTCGTTTATCAATTTGATCATGTTTTTAATACTTTATTTTTTCGTCTCCTTCTCTGGCAGCCTTCATTAGGACTATTTCTTACTAAATATGATTCGAAGCATCATTTACCACTCCATCAGAGTCTTGGTAGATATCTAAGAACTTTTGGTTGTTCTTTCTTTTCCATTTATCTTATTCTTCTTATTGCGTTTTCTTCTAGTCTCTGACAATGATACCTAAGTGTAAATCTATTTAAACGTATTGTTATGTTCATGGTTTTTGCCACAAAAATATTTTACAAGATAGATATGCTGCTAACGACGGTTTATTTTGAGGAAGTTTATATGAACGACAAGAAAAAATAATATTATTTTAAAAAGGTTTTTTTTACACGTTCGTTGCCAACAACGAATTATGTCGTAGGCGCTAGTTAATTCGTTAATTAACACGAGTTAATTCGTAGAACGGTTTTGTTTTACTTACGCCACATACGATCTGACACGTAATATTTTCGTGTTCTTTGAAGGTTTGGGGATGGGCGTGGTGGAACCGTTTTTAAAAATATCGCTTGGCAGCGTTTTCAAGTGCTTATGTGTTCACTAGTAGGTAGTTTTTATAATAATAATAATAATAATAATGAGAATACAGTATCGAAGTAATTTGTTTTCCTTTCTATTCATGAAATACTAGTTTTTTTTGTCTGTTTCGTTCAGTGTATACTGATTTTATCCCTTTACATTTAATCAAGCACTAACTAAAGAAAGTTTTATTAAAATTTAGTGAAATACTTTCACCATCGCTGTCTCTCTTGGCTATTTCTTTCCGGTTATCTGCATGCAGCACTCTAGCATCTTTGTTGATTCGATCTATCTATCTGTTTTTTGACCTTCCAGGTACTCTCTTACCAACTATTAAGACTTTTATTGCAGACGCTTACTGATGAATTACATGCCTCGCATTTCTTAACCACCTTGCCTTCAGATCATGAAATATTGATTGACCAGTTTTTTTATTGGTTCTTCTTCTCCATCCGTTTGTATTCTGATCCATACCGCTCAGATTATAGTAGGAAATGATTATGAATAATTTACAAATATTTTTAATAGTCATCCAATTATAGTCCACTTTTAGAAAAACAATCTTTCTGAATAAGCTTTTAAGTTTATATTAATTAAGTTGAGGATTTATTACAAAATTAATTGAGATTCATCTCACGTTGTGTAAAAAAATTAAGTTATTTGATATTCTGTGAACTAAGAGTAGCCGCGTTTTCTGCAAAAATTACTAAAATAAATTATTGCAAAGCTTTAATTCTTTTTTGTTATTATTATTATCTGGGATGTATTATAATAAACAATAATTTATAAATACACTTTTTATTTGTTAAAACAATGTTAAAAATAATGATTTTTTAAAACTTTTCAAAATAAAGTGATGGTAAAACTGTGTTTTTTACTCAGATATCTATACAGGAATTGTTCTGTACTTATAAGTGATCAAATAAATGTTTTAATCACGTTTTCATGAAAATAATTCAAGCAGTCAGAAGGTTTATTTATTTTAAGCCCACCTTACAAAGTCAATATTATTGAATCAATAATATTGAAGTAATATCCTTGAATTTGTATACATAGTACAAATGTCAATATATCCCTCAGACCGTCAATATTTCGATATTGGCTGTGTAAGGTGGGCTTTAAACATAAATATTAGAATTGGAAACATTTAGTTAGTCACTTAAAACACGGATCAGTTTCTATAATAAATATCTTAATAAAAACAAAGTTTCATTATTATTATAGACAATAATTATTAGAAAGTGCATTTAACTAATCTTTTTTAAAAATAATTGTGGGTTGATGGCTGACTAGTGAATAATTGAAAAAGATTGGTTTCGGTGATCAGTCAAAAATAAATAATAATATTTTAAAAAATAAAAATATAATAATTTTTTTAAAGTTTAAAAAATAAATATTATTATTAATTTTTGACTGATCACGCCAACCATCCTTCTTTTTTAAAAATAAATTAAAAGAGCATTTATGTTCATTATAATACATCCCAAGTAATATTTTTAAAAAATTAAACCTTTGCAATAATTTTTGTTAGCCATTTTTGTCAAAATCACAGGTCTTATAGGTGACAGGAGATCAAAACTTCTATCTTTTTCTTTTTACCACACAAGTTAGGGTATCTCAACTTATTTCGCTGCAAACCCTCAACTTGGGGTGGGGTGGCCGAATGGGCTAACGCGTGTGCACAGCACCGCGAGTTGCCCAGCAACCAGATGACCTGAATGTGAGATTAAAAAAAAAACTACGAGTTCGCGTCCCGGTGCCATGGGGATTTTAAATTCCCCGCCCTCACCCTCAGGCCTGGGGAAAATCCCTTATAGCCTAAAAGGCGAGGTAGGGAAGAACAGAAAAAAAACCCTCAATTTAATTAGTATGAACATATTGCTTATTAAACAACGAAGTTTTTCTAAAAATGAGGTATCTGAGTGTAGTTGGAGGGTGATTTTTCTTTAAAAAATCTGGTGTGTCCACTCACACGACTCTTCTACCTATTTCAGAAGTTTTTATATCTTTACATATGTCCATCAAGATACAAAAACAAATTGAATTAGATTTATTTTCCTGAAAATTGATCAAAGAAAAGTTTTCAGTACGATTTATTTGATAAACTAAAGCAATCTAAATCGACTTAAGGTAGATCAGTGTAAAGATTTCAATACCCTCTAATATTGCTGTTTCTGTTAAAAGTAGAGGAAATAGCGAAACTTGAGTGATGCCGGCAACAGATTTTCTTACTTTCACTTAGTTATATTTTTTCTCTCATTCACCCCTTTCTGGCACCAAGATATGAACCCGTAATCTTACACTGGAAATTGAATAGCTGTAACTTCGTTAATAGTTGTCCGAAATGGACGATTTTTATACATTTTTGTTGGTAATTTAATTACCTTTCAAAAGTGTTATTATAAATTTTACCATAGAATATATACTTAGCGAGTTAGGTCCCAAAACTTTTTTTTTCTTTATAACTGTTTTTCCTATATTTTTCTCGGGAATTTAGTCCATATACGAAAATTGAAAAGACAATTATTAGAACATTATAGGAAAGTTTCATCAAAATCTTTAGAGCCGTTTTTGCGCTACAGTCTATATAAAAATATGTTTTTCATTTATTGCGCAGTAGCTATTGAGCATGGAGCGTCCAATTTGTGTAATAGGCATCAGTATTCAAAATCCTACAAAATAAAAAAAGAAGCCAAATCTTGGCACAGACAGACCAATGGCTAAAAATGCGCTTGTCGGACCCACAGGGCTCTAAAACGTATAGATCCGTCAAAAACCGCATATCGAAAATTTTACCCAATTGCAATACTTTCTTTACCTAGTATAGGTAGGAAAGTAAAAAAAAAAAACATAAATTATCGTAGTTTAACTGCGCAAAAGGCTTTTTAAAATAATTTTACAATAAAAAATTTCATTTTCATTTGAGATAAGGTAAATTTTGTCTAGTATATTTTGATACAATTGTTGATTACCTAAATTAAAGATTTTTTACTTTCCTACCTATACTAGGTAAGGAAAGTATTGCAATCGGGTCAAATTTCCGACATGCGGTTTTCGACGGATCTAAACGTTTCAAAGCTCCGAGTCCGAAAAACACATTTTTAGCCATTGGTCTGTCTATCTGTCTGTGCCAAGATTTTCTCGGGAACTACTGAACCGATTTTGTTGCTTCTTTTTTTATTTTGTAGGGTTTTGACTACAGATGCCTGTGACAGAAATTCGGTGCTCCATGCGCAATAAATGAAAAACATGTTTTTCTATAGATTGTAGCGCGAAAACGGCCCTAACGATTTTGATGAAACTTTCCTATAATGTTCTAATAATTATTCTTTCAATTTTCGTATATAGACTATATTCCCGAAAAAGTTCAGGAAAAAAAAGTTCTAAAGAAAAGAAAAATGTTATGGGGCCCAACTCCGTAAGTATATATTATACGGTATGCCGTTTAGCCTGTCGTTTGAATGGTAATTAAATTCCCTACAAAGTCATATAAAAATCGTTCATTTTGGACAACTATTAACGAAGTT